CCCATTTCACTGTTAGCAGTCAGGAGTGATTGCTAACAGACAAGACGTAACAGCTAGAAGAGTTTATTCATCGGGTTCAGTGACAGTTGTCTCTCTGTCGGTTGCTTTTTTTGGGATGTAGAATTGATTTGTTTTATCCAATGGTAACTTCAGAACTACTTATTCGTTAATTGTGTTTAACGTTGGTGTCTACAGGCCAAATTTCTGTGGTGAACTATCACGACTAGACTGGATTTCACAGTAAGCGTTTTATGTTTTCAGCGATAACAAATCGTATTGACATGGGCCACGGTAACCGGTCGTTCAGTGCTGAGTCGTTTGATGTGCTGGTTTTGCTTTCTGTGTGGCAATCTTGTGAACGTTGAGTTGACGTTTCTACAATATTGATCGACATATCAGTCAGTGTTCCTCATAACTGAAGGAGTACTCTAGCTACTTACATCTACCCTACCCATTTTATGCTAACTAGTCATCGCACAGTCCTAACATTGTTGCACGGCGATTAATCAGCCGTTTCCAATGACACTAAGTAGCCAAATGGGGCTCAGTTTTTAGGGCAGTTACTGGGTGAAGAGTAACTAGCATTATAATTCGAAAATACACAGGCGCTTGTAGTCCAAAGTCTAACAAGAGGGCTGGTGTCGGATTGAATATTTCCGTCATATGCAGGCTACTGCTGGTTCGTATCAGTAGCATAACCGTTAGCCACAAAATATGAAGACAGCTTCCGAAAAGCCTCACCAAAGCACTGCACCCAGAGCAAGTTGGCCCATCACCTTTGCTGCATCATCTTTACCTCCTCAGCTTCACTCCACTTTTTTCTGTCGATACATCGGCCCGACAGATTCAGTGGTTGATATGACTGGCGATTTTGCTGACATTCATATGCTTATGAACTTGAGAACTATTGAAGATTGAAAGTATTAAAATGAAACTTTCGCGTGTATTCTCGTTTCCCAGTGGAACCCAAACGGTTCATAAGTTCTGGTTTGTTTCAGTACTCCTACCGGTTCTTTTATTCGATATTGTTGAAGTAGGACCGCAGTCCAGTAATCAGTAGTGTTTGGCGCGTTTATCGCGGGTCCTGCAATGGATTTGTTCGGGTGATTGTCAATGGCGCTTTTGGTCTTTGATGTACGTAAGCCTGTTCTCGTTGAAAGTGGTTTCGCTCGGTTATAGATTCGGAGTACGTCTCACAAGACGAGATGACTAAGAAGACACCCTGGTACCAGCTTACTGATAGGAAGTTTTTCACATCAAGCAAACCAACAAAATAGCGTTGTAGAACCACAGCGGGTTGCTTGGTTCATTTATGGGAAGAACCTACTTAAGGGTGATATCACATCAGAGAGCGGATACAAGTGACAAGAAGGTTTCTTGCGCTCGTTGAGCACGCTACATGTTGATTTCCCAATACACGCACTACTAAACTTTGATGTGGTAGTCAGCCCATAGATTTGCTATTGGGACATATTCTACTCCGAAGGATCGACAAGTCATGAAAACATGACCCCCAAGTCGCCCAGAATGACTAGAAGTCATCAAACAGAATTTGAGTGAAGTGAGATAGCAGGTCACTGTGGGTTGATTCTACCAATTTTTTCATCCCAGTGCTCGTTCAGTCCAACCCTGGTGTTCTTGTTCGTCTCGTGGCTGAGAACCATAGTTTGTCCCACGGGTGTAACGGTGATTCTACTAATGGGGAGGCATGCGAGTAGTATGCGCTGTTCTTGAAAATTCGCTCTGCGTACCTTGAAAAAAAAGAGATCTGTCGCGGAATTTGTGGAGTCGCTTTTTAGCATTTTTGGTTGTAAGCAATGAATGATTGGAGTCAAGGAATATACAGATAAGTTCAAGAAGACGCGTTCAGGAGAAGATGGATGTCCAGTTTTTGTAAATAAGATGCAAATGAGAGTTTTGCTTCCCTGTCCACTAGTCTGTAGCCGGTCAGTTGGCATTTTCTAATAAATAACTTCGCAGCAAAGGCCATCTTCCACATCACCCCATCGCTCCATTGAACCAACAGATCACCAATACTCCAAACCCTCAATTAAACGACCAGCACCTCATGTCAGTTGATTGCATTCCACCGATATTGTTCCGGCATTCGAAGAGCCGTAGCGATACCGCAAAGGTCTTCAAATCAGAACGTCCAACGAACCACCCAGTGAGACTGAGTAATACTTGTCTAATCATATGAACACGAAACAATGAGTTTCGTTGTTCATTAGTAGTTAGTCGGATGGTTGTTGATCCGTTCGTATAAGTTGGCGACTGACTTGGAAAGCTTCATCACTCATCGAGGAGACATAGTCACTGTATGCACTGATGAACGGTGATCATTTCTCCACCTCTGTATCCTAGCTAATCATTCTCCAAAACCCTACTTGTTATATTGGTAGTAATATTCTTATGAAAGTTAGAACATACGTTAGATAATAACAACCAGGAGTACTGATGACATAAAACTACTCAACGGTGACATTATTTTTGAGTATCTACAGAATTCAAACCACTACCGCGTAAAGGGGCGCCCTTGGATGACAGAGAATTATCCTGAGAGATTACACTGTTAGCACGCCAATGCGAGGAGACCTTCACATATCTCAAGATCAAGTCCAGAATTTGATGCACAGACGGAAAACGAATTTTGAAATCCCCTAACTTTTTTGAACATTTCATCCCGAAATTACGGGTGAGACAAGACACCCAAAGCAGATTTTGAAGGTGCCTTGTACTCACAAATTGAAAATTCATGTTTCAAGAGTTGCAGTCCCTGAACGTGCACTTACAGCTCAAGGAAAAACATAGGAAACTGCCGAGAAATGTGCATACATCTACGATTGTACCAGCTCTGACGGTCAAAAAGCTGGAAATCAATCTTCAAGCATCGATGCCCAGTCTACTTGACTGATTCCAGCGTTCATAATCTGAAGCGCGTGGGACAACTAGTTGCTCTTGATTTGATATTGATGTGTGCTGTGTATCGGAAACAAGATTTAAAGATACAAGCACCGTCCCATCGCTGTCCACTCACTTCCGTCTGCGCACCTCTAGTGATCCGTAGGTTGCTGTGGCTGGATGTGCAGAGGCTGGTATCGTTTTAGTTCAACGGGCAGAAGAACATTTGCTTGAACGGATACTCGTTGATAGTCGCTTATTTACAGTTTGTCGGGAGATGTCCGTGGGGTGGACTCACAAGCGAGAACCTGATCACAGTCTCATTATCAAATCTGCCTACGCCCTAAACGATCAGAGCTTTGACACCATCAAAGACAAGATGTATGACGCCTTGAATGCGCTGTTGCGACAACCTAGATATCGTGGTGGTTGCCGGAGATCTGAATACAAAAGTGGACAGCATTAACGCACCGGAGACTCAATTAGGTGGTCGACGTGGATTGGGCTAGTTATGAATGTACGATTGCTCCAACTATGTGCAGACCACAGGCGTTTCATGCAGTACTACCATCCGAAATGACTGAAGTCGTCTGATGAAGTCGGTGCACGAATCTCGTTTTTCAATAGGCTTCCTTTCTGACGTCAAAGGAACACCACTGGGTCCTAAGGATAGTGTGACCAGGCTACGGTGAGGGCTATATCACTGTATGGTTGTGAAGCATGATATCTGAGGACAAGTGTTCTGAGGCGTCTTCAGGATTTCAATTGCTGATATCGGGCGACTCCGAGGATTTTGTAAGGGCATAAAGAAAAATGAGTATTTGCTTATCCATCATTTGCTTCAGTTGCGGAAAACATTCAGTGCTACCAACCGCGGTGCTTGGGCTATATGTTACGCATAGTGAGTCACCGTCTACCTGGATAAGTATTGTTCTCCGTGAATCCTTCAGTTTGGACTAAACAGTGATGCGGACAACGTTCAACTTGACAGAATTGGTCGAAGGAGATTACGAAGAGTTTGGACGTTGCTAATGAGTTGTATCATCCAGAGTTGGGCCCCTTTGACCCCTTCTGCACTTGTTTGTAAGAAATTGCGGTCAATCGATATCAGCGATGTTCATACTGTCTGTTTCTTTTCAGGCCGTATGACTGGGCACTTTCTCATGAAGTCTTTTCTTCTTTACTTAAGGGCATTAAACATAACCAAATAAGCTGCTGCTGTATGACAGCTGAGCATCAGTGTGAACACCGACGTTGCCATGGGAGTCTACTGTGACAAGTAGCTGTTCAGCAGGGGCCAAGGAGGCTGAGATTCAGATAGCAATAGATAAGAAAAATCCAAACCGCAGTCAGTCCAGCACGTCTGGATAATCAACTAATGGGTTTCTTCATGTTCGTGAACCGTGATTCGGATGATTTGAGCTGGTAAAGCAGTATGCGAAAATATAGCTGAGAACACGTTGCATCGTATCAGGAGGTTCGAAATACCCATGTTTTAGGTTTACTATTATCCTTGTGCAATTCGTCAACGAAACGGTTTTCTGAATGCTGCCTTAGATTGTTAGATTCAGTTCAGCGTCAAGGCGCGGATTTTATCGATCCCTTACATCGTTGGAATCTCATTGGTCACAGTTTTTTAGTAGAATGCTGCTAGATGTGAAACGAATTCTACTACTGCAGCTCTGAGGTATGACTAAGTCTGAGCGATCGATTTGTCAGCTGTCTGATTGTTCTTGTCCTCTACTTGCTAAGATTGTGTCGAAGCTTTGGAGCACAAGTAGACGGAGTTCCTGTCTTTCCAGTCCTGATTAGATCACGTGGTTGACAAGCCCCAATTACCTATCTGCATTCACGATTTGACCAACTCACGTCATAGCAAATCCATTGTGAGTGAACTGACCTGAAAGTACACCCTCGCGAGGTTGAACTCACACTGCCGATCCACAGTACCAATCAAGGAAAATGAAGCGTAATTTAATCCTAGCTTTGGATTGGTGGTTAGCGGCGCAGCTATCTCAGTCTGGTTGTTATGGTTTCTGTGTTGGTGTGTCTTAACCTTGACAGTAGTGCATTTTCTATCGTATAAATTTTTTTGATAGCATAAACCGACAGGTAGAAGTCATACTTCGAATATGTCTGACGAGCGAGCTGTTGTAAAGAATGCTGACATGCCAAAGGAGATGCTAAATGATGCTCTGGACATGTGCGCACGCGCAACAGAAAAATATGGACTCGAAAAAGACATAGCTGGGTTTTTGAAGAAAGAGATGGACAGAAAATATGGCCCAACGTGGCACTGCGTTGTTGGACAACATTACGGAAGGTAAGGGTCATTTCAATCGTTCTTAATAAAACGAACTGGGTGTTTAAAGCTTACTAGTTCGGATTATTATCGCAATCAGCAGTTTTATTGGTTTCTGATACTTCATGAGACATTGACTTGTTCATTGTATTCTAAACTAGTCGATAAATTTACAAGCCCCCAAAAGCTTCGAGAGAATGCTCAGTCAACCATGTCCAGTCTTTTGGGTTGTCACAAGCCTAAAGTCGAACACCATTTACTTCTTGTCAGCGGTAGGGAGGCTTTGGTGTTTTAACTCTGAATTTTACTCTGCAAAGCCAAGTAGACGTATTTCGGAGAACCCAAGGAAAGCTCACATTTGCTTTGTGATGAAAGAGGTTAATAAAAATTGTGGAGCAAGTGGATACGGAGCGATTTTGGAGACGGGGATCTTCCGGATGGGAATGGAATACAGCGTTTGCACTTTAGCGCCAAAAATATGTTTTTTTTGAAAGAGGTTAAATTGTGGAGCAAGTGGATACGGAGCGATTTTGGAGACGGGGATCTTCCGGATGGGAATGGAATACAGCGTTTGCACTTTACTTTAGAAAATATGTTTTTTTTGCGCTGAAAAATGTAAGTAGTACAACATAAGGTTGACGAAAACTCGGGGACTGCGCCTCCTGATGAGCCCCAAGAGGGGCGAAACCGGTCGTGGACTGTCGACGAATTTTCAGCAACCTTATGAGTAGTGATTACGAGTATACATGTAAATTTATCCTCTTACGAAGTTTTCTTTTCATTCAGAACTGTGCGACTTTGCCTCCCAGAATCTTCGTCTACTTTGACTGGTCACTAACACGAAGTACTTTTTGCGCTCAACGAAACGGTTTTCTGAATGCTGCCTTAGATTGTTAGATTCAGTTCAGCGTCAAGGCGCGGATTTTATCGATCCCTTACATCGTTGGAATCTCATTGGTCACAGTTTTTTAGTAGAATGCTGCTAGATGTGAAACGAATTCTACTACTGCAGCTCTGAGGTATGACTAAGTCTGAGCGATCGATTTGTCAGCTGTCTGATTGTTCTTGTCCTCTACTTGCTAAGATTGTGTCGAAGCTTTGGAGCACAAGTAGACGGAGTTCCTGTCTTTCCAGTCCTGATTAGATCACGTGGTTGACAAGCCCCAATTACCTATCTGCATTCACGATTTGACCAACTCACGTCATAGCAAATCCGTTGTGAGTGAACTGACCTGAAAGTACAACCTCGCGAGGTTGAACTCACACTGCCGATCCACAGTACCAATCAAGGAAAATGAAGCGTAATTTAATCCTAGCTTTGGATTGGTGGTTAGCGGCGCAGCTATCTCAGTCTGGTTGTTATGGTTTCTGTGTTGGTGTGTCTTAACCTTGACAGTAGTGCATTTTCTATCGTATAAATTTTTTTGATAGCATAAACCGACAGGTAGAAGTCATACTTCGAATATGTCTGACGAGCGAGCTGTTGTAAAGAATGCTGACATGCCAAAGGAGATGCTAAATGATGCTCTGGACATGTGCGCACGCGCAACAGAAAAATATGGACTCGAAAAAGACATAGCTGGGTTTTTGAAGAAAGAGATGGACAGAAAATATGGCCCAACGTGGCACTGCGTTGTTGGACAACATTACGGAAGGTAAGGGTCATTTCAATCGTTCTTAATAAAACGAACTGGGTGTTTAAAGCTTACTAGTTCGGATTATTATCGCAATCAGCAGTTTTATTGGTTTCTGATACTTCATGAGACATTGACTTGTTCATTGTATTCTAAACTAGTCGATAAATTTACAAGCCCCCAAAAGCTTCGAGAGAATGCTCAGTCAACCATGTCCAGTCTTTTGGGTTGTCACAAGCCTAAAGTCGAACACCATTTACTTCTTGTCAGCGGTAGGGAGGCTTTGGTGTTTTAACTCTGAATTTTACTCTGCAAAGCCAAGTAGACGTATTTCGGAGAACCCAAGGAAAGCTCACATTTGCTTTGTGATGAAAGAGGTTAATAAAAATTGTGGAGCAAGTGGATACGGAGCGATTTTGGAGACGGGGATCTTCCGGATGGGAATGGAATACAGCGTTTGCACTTTAGCGCCAAAAATATGTTTTTTTTTGCGCTGAAAAATGTAAGTAGTAGAACATAAGGTTGACGAAAACTCGGGGACTGCGCCTCCTGATGAGCCCCAAGAGGGGCGAAACCGGTCGTGGACTGTCGACGAATTTTCAGCAACCTTATGAGTAGTGATTACGAGTATACATGTAAATTTATCCTCTTACGAAGTTTTCTTTTCATTCAGAACTGTACGACTTTGCCTCCCAGAATCTTCGTCTACTTTGACTGGTCACTAACACGAAATACTCTTTGCGCACTCCTTCATACATATCCCACGGGAGAATGATTTCCAAAGAAAAACAGGTCTAGTCGGTCGTACCAGAAAAATTGTTGCGTTCCACAGGAAACAGCATTGATATCATTTACTAAGCGAGTTGGTTTTAACGAGAGATACAGCTGAACGTGTCGTCAGCCAAAATGTTGCACAGAGGCCACCCCCATGTGCCGGTTGAAATGACACCAAAAGTATCGCGGCATGTTTCTTGATACAACACTATTCATAAGTTAATCGAAAACGCTTCGGCAGCCCACGACTAGTTTCAGGCTTTCTTGAGGTTCATCAAGCTGCAGTGCGTGGTGGTCGTAGCTAGTTAGAAGTTATGCCCTGGGGTTCCCTACGACTGCTCTGATTTTTTAAACGGACCATAAAGGCCAAACCTGGGCGAAAAACTCAAAGCACGTCGCCGTTACAAGTTGGTTTTCCGTCTAATTGACTCCCATAAGTTTTTGCTGTGAAGGTGATCTACTGCGACTCTTTGACGATAGTAACTTATTCAAATGAATTCCAAATTCGACATAATCATTTATTCAGTTACCTATTTGCTTGTTTATTGTAATGTGAAGCTCTATTATTTGAAACATTCTGAATGCAAGAAAGATCGGGAGCTGAGTAGAGTTCGCGAGAGAACATCACGAAGCAGCGAGTTGGTAGATCTAACTCGCAATCAAATGTATCCATTCTCAGAACCAAACTTTCAGCGGTGGATTGACCTACTTGTACTTATATACGTTTGTCGTTACCCTTCTTACTTTCGTAATCACGCCAACAAACGGTGGTGGTTGGAGGTACAGGGTCGACGACATAAGATGCGGACCAGTCGCAACGGGCAAAGTGTCCTTGGAATTTTCAAACATCATTTTCAAAAATCTGAACTCTTCCAGATGTAGCTACATTCACTTTCACATCTCATCCGAATAAATCCGAATAAAATAAAGCTGTGGCCGATTTATCGCAGTGACCTCACAGTAAATTTTAAAGTAAGTGAGTTTTGGTGGCTGAGAGCCACAGTAATTGCTTAGCTGAGCATATCTGATGGCCCGTGACAAGATGTCTGACTGCAGGAGTCTGTAGGGGTTTTCACCTGCGAGTCAATCAGGCCTAGAGAGGCACTTCCTTTCCCATTTTAGTGATGAGACAGTATAATTTGACCCACAGGGACATGTGAGTTGGCTTATAATGTGTGATTAGTCCGTAATAGGTTCGTACGCTTTCACGACATGTGATGTTAAACCATGAGTCCAAGTGAAAATGTGTAGTTCTACCGCAGTGTCTATCCACTTTGGTGTTGGGACGTTACCATGGACGTGGCGTCATCTATTTTGAAGGACGTTCTCTGATCTGCATTGTCAAAATTTCTGTGTATCCTACTTAAAAGATGAGTACTTCAGTTCACCATGGTTCACTATGCTTTTTTGCCACCGGAAATCACGTGCTTTGAGGTTTACAGAAGCCGGTGCAACAAATCGATCATAGTCTGTTTAAATGCAGTCTGATTTGATATGTAGACTGACTAAAAGTTCATAAAGTAACAGTTTACGCTTCTGGTCCACAAAGAGCTGACCTATGAAATCTGTTATCACATAGAAAAACCCTATTTTTGGAGTCACTATAGAGACCGGTTGTTAGTCTCGGTACTGACCAGGCACCAAGAAATGCTTGATTGAACCAACATTCGTGTCATCATTATATTATCAACATCGACAACCACTTAGGGAATGATGATCTGGGTTCATCTGTTTAGCTTTCACTGCAATAGAACAAATGGAATACAAATTGAAAGCTTTCCAAAAAAGCAACAAAGAGATGCAAATGTTTCTAGCTGTAATATACCCCACAAATTTGCCCCACATTGCGATTGGAATTTTTAACAAAGTGTTTCCTGTCACCTGTGGAGAGGTTTTCCGTTGTTGAAAGTTTTGGTAAAACGTCAAAAGTGTCCCTTTTTTGGAGTTCACGTTTATCGTAAATCGTCTAATAAGAGGATGCAGGTGGATCATGTGAACGCACTGCTGTCAGAATTGGTTCTCAGAAATGCATCCGATTAGCTCTAACAACCACTCTGTTGTTCACCCGGTGTCAAACCACAACTACTGTCATGGTTGATGGAATCTCGGGGACTGCGCCTACCTGATGAGCCCCAAGAAGGGTGAAACCGGTCGTGGGCTGTCGAAGAGTTTTCAGCAACCTTGTGAGTAGTTTCCTTCATGAAAATATACTGTCACTGTCATTTGGTAACGCGACCCGCGTTTGTATACCCCAAGAACACTCTTAACTGTACGGGACTTCCAATATGGAATCACGTGACTCTTGGTTACTCGGGTGCATAGATTTTTGACCTCAGTAATAAATAGCAAAAAATGGGCTCAGAATCTTCATTGTGTTGGTAAGTACCATACTGCCACATATTCATTTAGAGGATTGTGGAGACTACGACCTAGCCTGGACCTAAAGTTTCTGCAACTTTCCGAGGTTAATTTGCACCCAGATTATTCAGTCAGTTTTACGAGGTTGATGACCTCAGATATTTGTGGTATCCTGACACGCAGCCTCTTCTGTTACTGTCATCTGCGTACCAGGTGCATCTTTTATTAACCCGGTTGTACTGCATTGATCCTAAATGTGATGGTGTGGTCAGCGGACGATTTCGTTATTAATGTCAATTTTGTGGTTGACGATAACGATGATGCCTTGCGCCAGTGTACTAACTTCGAGACGATCACATACAAATAACAGAGGGGTTCATCTGATACTTAGAAGCCTGTTCCACGTAGCCGGGTTGCAAAATCTTTGCCTCTTCAGACGCATAGAGGAAAGTATGCGCGATATCATGCTGGTTAATCTGGAGAGTTGGAGGTCTCGCAGATGAAGAAGTTCTTCCTTGTCGCCTCCTCAAACGCTAAGGCTGGCAACTAATTGATGTCTACCTATGAGAGTGATGGGGAAGAATGTCGGCTGGATCACCTCAAGTTACCTGAGAACTATGTCTGAAAACTCTGCGAAAACCAGGTGATGTATATGTTGGCCCCATATTTTCCCTGGCCCATTCTCTATAATCAGCTCAGACGAGCCAAAAAATAGAACGACGTAATGATTTAGCAAACATTTCACATATATGGGTTGATATTCACATGATTGGACTAATGATTGCGTCGCACGGTAAAACATTGTTTCATGTTTGTAACATGCTACAATTATACATCGTTTACATACTCAGTGTCCTCCCATCTCTTCCCTACAGCTATGTGACACACGAAGCCAAATGCTTTGCTTATTTCTTCCTTGGTCATTCAGCTGTCCTCCTCTTCAAGTTTGGATAGAAAGCTATCCAGTTTCCGGATTAGTCTCCCGTGTGGTGTTCTGACCACCGTTGTTGGTGGACACGCAGCCACAGCTATGATATAATCTTGGAGCTTTCTGAGTGATGTGTGATTGATCCTTTGGCTAATAAAATGGTGAGTATTTTGGATACTAAAGTCTTTCTCTAAAGCGGGACCAGCAGGGATTCGGGCAGGTTTCGCGACAGACGGATATCCTATATGCGGCGATTAGAACCTGTCATGAATGTTCAGGGGATGTGGAATGGAAGAAATTCATTTTCCTTCAACTTCCTTTCCGTCTGACTTGATTTTATTCAGTGTTTGTCTGAGTATTATTGACAAATCAGTCACACTCTCCATGTGTGGCCACGGCATGATAAACCCAGACCATTGTCTAGGGCGCTTTCGTGTTGTTAACCCGAAGTGCCCACCATCGCTTCATCTCAGTCAGTGTTATTTTGATCAAAGAGAGTTCGAACACACGGCACGTAACATAAGCCGGGAAAGCGAAACTCCCACCCCCCACCAAAAAAGAAGAAGCTATCTAACAAACCACCGGGATAAGAGGTAGGCATACCGCAGCGCAACCCAAACTTTAAAACAGCTAATAAAATTACAAAGAGGGATTACTAGATACTCCTCAAAACCCACATAAACGCAGACAAGTAAGGAGAAAGTGCCATTCCGTTGGGTACTGACGATGCCTCCTCGACTAGGGAAGGAAACTTGGCTCCGGGAGCAAGTCAACCGCCATCTGATCGACCACCACTAAACGCAACCCAGCTACCAATATTTGGACACAGTGAGAGGCAGATTCCAAGTTTTTAAATGCTGTTAAGAGAGGCAAGTGAAACAGACAGTCTCAGGGATGATTGATGCCCTGGAGTAGCTCAGAGTATGCAAGCACTTTTAGGTTGCCATTGGTGATGAAATTTCGGCGGTGAGTAGTTTATCCAAAGGTCAGATCACACTTGGTCGGCTTTTGTTCGAACTGCAAAAGTCGATAAATGTGAGCAGAGATGTCACGTTACGTTAGTTACGTTAGTTTTGGCGTGACAATCGAATCCCTCTATGAGGGTTCTGAAAGTCAAAATGGTTTATTGTAAGGTCAACCGCAGATGAACAGACGTATTTACACATTTCATGCAACTTCGTTTTTCTGCTTTGGTCAGGTCTGGTGGTAGCATCGGGTTAGTAATGCTGAGGTACGTCAGGTGGTCCTAGAAAGAAGGAACTCTCTCGCGATAGATGAATTACTCGCGCTTCATAGGTTGCACTGGTTGCGGATGCCAGAAGACCGTCTGTCTCCTAGTGCTCTTTTCCCTCAGCTCTGTGCTGAGTAGAAGCGATTGAGAGGTGGAAATGGCAATGCAGTAGAAAAAACACTAACCAATAAACTTAGTCGGGTGGACAACTTCCGCCCCCTGGATGGGGACCCCGGGACTCAAACCACCAGTGGTTAATGATATTGGCGAAAATGGCTTAATCGCACAGTCAGTAACACTCGTGAGTCAAAGCTACCGCCTTGAATGCGTAGCTACCCTATTTCCGAACAAGCTGAGCATGCCTTCGCCTCCGAGGCTTGGTTGTATGTTCCACTTTACCGTTTTCGGATGATCAAAACTGTAGCAGCTGCAACCAATTTGCCTATGACACACGGTTTACAGCTGATAAATAGATTGATTGATTGATCGATTGATTGATTGATTGATTGGAATACTTCTTTAACCCTCATTTATTAAAGTTCAGACATGCCCTCTTGAAAATACCCGCTAAAAATCCACCGTAGCTTTACGAAGGGAACTGCATTTCACAAGCTACCGGCTACCAAATGTTCACTTCTGACGGACACTATCTGAATAGCTTCAAATTTCTGATGTTCTCGCACATACAGTCCAAAAACGTGCATTTATTTCCGGGACCGAATCGTGAAGGGGAGAATAAAATCGTTCCACTTCTAGTTACGTCATCATGATGCCCTGAAAACGTTTTGAAACAGTCGGGACAATCAGTCAAGTGTTTGCCTCGTCTCCCGCAATCCGACACACGGTTTTCGAGGTTGCGGTGACATGGATATAAGTAATCACTCAGTTGAGCCAGACAAATCGAAGCTCAAAAATGGACAAAACGAGTCAGAAGCCTGGACAGCCGACAAAACCAATCGATAGACCAGTCTGTAAGCCCCGTAGATCCTCCTCTAGTCCAGGAGTGGCAAAGTACTTCAGAAGATGCTTCTGATATGCCGGGACAATCAGATTTTGGAATAATTCCTTCAGGAAAAGTGTAGTCATGTCTTCACAGTTCGCATACATGCATATGAGTTTCCCTTTTTCGTCTCTGGTGTCAAAAATCATGCTTCTTTCTGACCTATTCTTCGGCCGCTTTAGATTGCGAATGGTCACTGCTACCATAAGATGTGAACGAATTCACCTTCGCGATCTGGATCAACTTTGTATTTTCGCGCACGTGACCATAACCTCATCACGAAACTGAGCACGATCAATTTGTACATTACTGTCTGTCTCAGCTTGAATAGTAATGTAATTCTACATAAGTTCACTGTTTTTGGATCCCTGAATTTTTTTTCGCCTGTGACCCCGATGACAAAATCTGTGGGCTGCTATTTATTATTCTGGTTAAGCTTAAGGTTACCGATAGTGTGATCTATCATCCTCAGAGTGCTACATTATGTAAGTTTTCAAGGTCACGTCAAACTGTGATGTATTGTTGTCTTAGTTATCCGTCCGTTAAGAATTTGAAAAAGAGAGCGACCTTATTAGAAACCTGTTTGCTTTGAGTACCAGCAGTCATGGATAGTCTAGTCCACATCGCAGGAACCGCGGAGGTCAAGTGTTGTTTAGATTCAACATTTAGAAACCACCATACCTGTCAAAAGTTGGTATTGGTGCGTTTTGTCATTCCAAAGACGGCTCGGCTGTTTTAAGGATACAACAGATGTCATTGACCCTTTACTCTTCCTGGAGGAACTGATCTGACGTTTGTAAGATCAAGCAGAACATGTACACTTTAGTGCAAGTGGTCTCACACTCAGGAGATCTTCCTCGGATCTCAGAATGAAGAAACGTTGTCATAGCTCTTCTGTATCCGCAGATTCCTGTTACGGAAGAAGACTGAAAGACTTTGGAAAGTCAGTATTAGGTAGTGTCACCGGAGTATGGCCCAAATTCACGACGCACTACGGGCGATTAGTGATAGTTGTGTCATCTTTTCAAAAACTGCTGACTGGGATGGCGCAATCTTGTCCACTAGCTATCCAGCTCTGCTACATTTTTCTGTGGATTTCACGACCAGACACCATATAAGCTTCAGTAAAAACAAACTCTCAGAGAGAAGGGATGCAGCTGGTGTGAACTTTAGAAACGTAACTACTTAGGAAAACAAGGGAAAGGAGGAAAAAGGACATTTGCTATTCCGAGGATTTTGGTTGATTGGTCAAATGGATAATCTTACTTTTATGATTTGAGGGTGAAGTTAGCAGAACAAGCACCTGGTAGGCTTGACTGTTCATTATTCCTAACCAGGTGTATGGCGCGAGTGTGAATCTCCAGAGATTCCACGCAGCACCGCTGTGCACGTACCGAGGGTCTCGTCTGAGTTCTCTGTGGATATTCTCGTATCATTTAACTGGGTTAAATCAAACCTTGTTGGCTCTCATGTTTGAAGCGTGAGGTGAAACAAGATGGTTTACAGATGACAAAAAGACGCTACATAGCACGGAGAAGATCTGAGAAAGTTTTATGCAAACCTAGAAAATAGATATACCATCACATTTGCTGAACTTTCGGTTCAGATTTTCAGCAGTGCTTGGTACGTCGGATAAAAAGGATTCTCATGGACAAAACAAAGTAAGCAGTCGCAGTCGTTTTCGATATCTTTTTCTGTTAGCCAACAGTGAAGTCGGAGAAGTACGTCTGTTTGGGTGGAATTAGTACAATTAAGGGGAGTCTTCGGGACTTACTACCATAATTACCCTCAAGCGCCGGTAACTCATCGTTACAGTTTGAGGCCATCCATTCATCGAGTGTCTGCCACCACCGACACCCTAAATTTTTCTTCCTAAGCATCTTCAGAATCCTCTTCAAATATCTCTGGCGATGTTTCGTATGTGACAGCGAACCACTAGAACCCACTTCTCCATAATGAGGATGTGAGTGCGGATAGTGTGCCCAGCCTTTGTGGGCTACGATAAGATTTGTACTGTACCACCACATGTGCCTTTTTAACAATCCGATCGATCGGCTCTGTGTACCCACGTGATCCACATCTCCTCTCTACCTTACCGGTAATCCAATACATCCACTGACGTTCAACACGTCATTTGCTACCCGACCCATTCCACTCTGAATGCTTCAAGCTCATCTCGGAATTATGTGACACATGTTATTCCATTCGTGTCAGTCCACCTAAACATCAAATGGATGTTTGAAATTCCAGCGTCAGCTTGTGTATTCGGCGTTTGATATCTGCAGGTGACAGCATTCCATTTGGCGTTTAAATCACTACGTTTGAATTACGTCAGAGACGTGAGTTTCCACTGCGCTTTGAGTAACCGACTGGTGTCTGCCTGTCTCTCATGTTGTGTAATACGATTCGCGTCAATTATTTTTGGTAACCTAGGCAGACCACGTAAACTTCGTTTACTGCGTGAGGTTTGTCAGCCTGAGTTATGCCTGTCTCCGTGAGACCAGTGGCAGATTATGAAAGGCCTACAACTGAGATGGGATATTCTGACTGGCAGCTGATGCATGTGAAGATCGCTCGTTCCGAAATTAGTGTTTCTGGTATTCCAACTCTCACTGGATCAAGTTACGTAGTTTTTGCTCTGCATGAACCCTTCTCTCTGCTACTTTTTGGATGCAGTTGTCCCAATCAATCTCACCTGTTTGTATAAGACCTTTTGAATTTAGGCATGAGGCTCACGAGTTACAAGCCACTCAACTGGTGCTCTCAATGAAATTCCCTCATTGAACGAATGCCAAGAGGATCTTGAACAGTCAATTTTGAGTTTGCTACATGAGTCAAGGATGGTTCTGTCTGGCCTAAGGGACCTAGGCTGGCGTGTAACGCAGTTTCTATCTGAGGGATTGACACTAATGGCAAATTCCCATTTTTGTCATCTGATGACTATTTGCGC